CTGTGTGCTTATTGATCAACTATACCTGTGTTTGTGTTTTATTTGATTCCTCTCTGTTTTATTCTTTCATGTCGTGCGTGCTAAATTGCCACAACATTTTGGAGTAGTTGGCTTAAATATATGTGTGTGCTTAATTACTCTGTATGAAGTAGGAGCAGTTTGCAAGGCAGGAAACATCCTTATTTAGACACACACACACACACACACACACACACACACACACACACACACACACACACACACACACACACACTAAGGAGATGGGGCGAACCAGACGGAGTCAACACCTGCTGACTCATTGCCTAGGGCCCGCCCAGAAGTGAAATCGCCAATAACAAATAGCTAGGGAGGAGCAACCAACACAACTCCTCCCCGCTTATGTGTATAAATACTGTAACATTCTCATGCTCGGCGCTCTTTTCCTGACTGGCTGTCGTGGTACGTATATCACACGGTGGTAGGAATTGAGCCCGGAGCGCTCTGTATTTGGTACTATTGCAGAGTGCTCTGTATTGTATTGTTATTTTCTACCATTAAAACAGATTATTGTTTAACCTCTATCCTGGTGCTTTGAGTTCCTTCTTTTGTAAATTTGACTAGCTCATCAGTCATCAAGGGACGCGCGGAGCAGAGGAGAACCTTCCACCACCGCCATTGGGTGGTGCTCCAACAATGAGCAGGCTGATCAGCGGAGGATACGTCCTGCAGTTCGCCTCTCCCCCCCACAGTTCAATGGGATACAGGAAACACTCCTGTCCTCCCAGAAGCTATGTCTTGCGCTCCAATCCGAGCTGCAGGAACTCCTGTTGAAAGAGGATATTTCCAGGGTTCCTCAAAGGGAGGAAAATCAGGGGTTTTCACTCCCGTTATTTTTCTAATCCCGAAAAAGACTGGGGCAATGAGACATCCTCGATCTGTCAGTATTCCACATGCTGACGATCAAACAGGTGCTGGAATGTGTTCACCAGGACGACTGGTTCACTTCCACCTGAAGGATGCATACTTCCACCTACCCATCATCCCGAAACACAGGAAATTCCTGCGGTTTCTCATTTCAGGGAATATCAGACCAGACAATCGTCTGCCGTTCGGATATTTCCTGGCTCCTCGCATTTTTGTGTAGAGAAGACTGGAGCCTACACAGAGGAGGGATGAGAGGGTGGTTTCCTCTGGACGACCTGCTGGTTGCTGGCTCGCTCCAGGGAGGAAGTCGCTTTACAGACGGTACATCTTGTATCGCATCTGTCAAAGCCTGGGTTTCATAATAAGTTGGAAGAAAAGCTGTCCTCTTCCCTCTCAGACAAATGTTTATCTGGGAGTGGAATTAAACTCAGCCAGCAGAGCGCGGCAGCGAGTGGAGAAACTGACAGCTCTCCTCCGGCATGTCACAACCCACACAGCCCTCTCCGTGACGCAGCTGCTCGGCGTTGGCGTCAGCTGGTCACGTGATGATCCCTTTGGGTCTCTTCCAATAGGGGGACACTCCAGAGGTGGTTCATTCGCTGCACAAGCCTGCTGTTTTTAACCTATTGGTTTATAAACTGCAGAGCTCGCGGCATTCCTCTGTCCCAGATATGCCTCCAACACACGGTCATAATAAATCCACGAGCACCGTTATAACGCCTCGTGTGGACAGCATACACACACCTCTCATCCTCATCTCTCATGATGAGAGACGGAGTGAAATGCAGCGTGTGGAAACTCCCTCGCAGCCCTTTTGCCTCACGGGCAGCGGCGGCGATGGCGTGGCTCGTCACCATGACGACCATTACGGTGAACGCAGCCAGGCGGCTGCTGTTCTGGGCGCGCACACACGTTGCTCTCATCAGAGCAATGTATATTCCCGGCGAATTGAACCGAGGGGCTCGCAGAGCGCAGCAGCCGTGTTAGGCGAGGAGTACGGACACTCAGACCTGTGTCACGCGCACTGGCGCCTCAGTGCGATTTGGCTTTAGTGTTACGCGCACTAAGCAAAGCCCCATTTGAACCTTTAGACCAGGTTCCCGTTAAACTGTTTTCAGCCAAAGTAGCAGTGGCGGCCGGCCCATAGGGGCGCTAGGGGGGCCGCCCCACCTCTTCCCACATACTAAAAAAAATATTTAAAAAAATATTAAATTTAAAAACAAATAATTAAAAACAAATATTTAAAAAATATATATATTTTATATTTTTATTTTTAATGAACAAGGTAAATATCATACAATTGGTATCAGTAAAATGTATAATCTACAATAAAATGTCGTTTAAAATTGTGTTACGATGTCTAAAGTTACTGATAAGTCACATGTTTCCTGCCTGGCCTTGCCCGTGGCATTAGTTTATCATTACCGGGCGGAGCCCCCGAGACAAACAGCAGCAACCAGCACGTTGCAAAAGTCTCAATAGTAAACTGTGCCGCCGAAACATATTTTCAGCCAATCAGCGCCGTCAAATATTTTGGTCACGAGGGCGCTCACGTCGGCGCCCACGTTGCTTACGTGACGTGAGTTGCTTTTTAGACTCGTGAGTGACCAAGGTGACGCAGTAGTTGGATGAGAATGGCTTTGTGTGCAGGTGGAGTCGCCGGACCTCGGTCCCCGCCCAATTCCGTGCAAGAGCTACTCTCCAATCCTTTCGAAAGGAGAAGTTTGGGAGATGAATTGATACTTAAAGACCTTGGACCGGACCAACCCGATTTGTATATATCACAGCAAGCTCGTGAAAAAGACAAAACGTATCAACGAGGCTTCTCACGTAGCTGGTACACCAGAAAGGCATGGCTAGCTGGATGCAAACAGGTAAATGCTGTCTTTTGTTTCCCATGCTTGCTCTTCAAACAGCCGGGCGGGGACAGATACGATCTGTTCAGAAACTAGACAAAAGTTAAACAAGTACAAACCACAGACTGCCTGTGTCATGGAGAATACAGTCGCTGGTTTATTTATGTCTGTATAGGCCGTTGTTGTGAGTGTGGACGGTCGGAGCATATATAACGTTAGCTTAGCCAAGCTCCATTCAGAAAACACGCATTTTAAAAGGGTTTTTCGCCTGCCGTCTGTCTGCAGACTTGTCAAAGCATTAATTCATGGTTTTTACTAACCGGTATCAGTATGTTGTTACTTCGGCATCATTTAGAAACGTGTATTGCAATTAAATCACAGTCAAATATGTTCATCTTGTTGTAGTTGTAGCCCCCTTGCCAGCGATTCTCTCTCTAGTTTAGCATACTCAGCCCGACTCAGCCTGGTTGTTCCTGGCCCTAGAACCACGATTTGATGGGGCCAGAAAAACTGTGAATTAGGACCCGCTAGCCGGTAGGCTACTAGGCCAAGTGGAAACGCAACCAAAAACGGGCCCCGCACGGCTCGGCACGCTTAAAGCGAGCTCCGCGCTGCACTGGAAACGCGCCATTACATCATCAGAAGTCCTAATTTAAGGGGTCATTTCTCCCAAAGAAAAATGTTTTACTCACTATATCAACAGCCCCACCAAAAATATTTTCCACCAGCCGCCACTGCAAAGTAGTACTACTTTTAGCTCTATCAGCAAAAAGGGTGAGTGATTTGTCTGCTCTCTCTGTGGCTCCGTCATGCCTCCGGATCCAAGGAGATGGCAGTTCAGCTGTTTTACGCCCTAACCCGGCTTTTATGCCAAAGGTCATCACAACTCTTTTAGAGTCGAGAGTGATCACCCTGACTGGCTTCTTTCCCCCCTCCTCACAGGTCGGAGGAAGAAGCCGCGTCTCATCTCCTCTGTCCTGTGCGCGCACTGTCTTGCTATGTGGCGCACACGGCTGCCTTGCGCCGTTCTCAGCGCCTGTTTGTGCACTATAGAGAGCGCTCGATCAGGCAACCTCTGTCTGCACAACGGCTGTCACACTGGCTGTGTGAAGCTGTGTCACAGGCATATGTCTCCTCTGGGGTGGATCCTCCGGAGAACATCAGTGCGCACTCCACCAGAGGAATTTCCTCCTCCACGGCTTTGCACGGAGGAATGTCAGTGGAAGACATTTGCACGGCTGCATCTTGGTCTTCCCCCTGTTCATTTATTCAATTGTATTTGAGGGATGTCTCCCATTCCTCTCTGACGCACCCTGTACTGGGTGTCTTGTCAGAGTGAGTGACGTCAGGGAGCCGGCTGTGCGCCTCTCTCCTGCCTCTCGGCACGCGGAGAGCGGCCCTTTTCCCCTCTTACAGCGATAGCCTTAGAGGGCTTCGCCAATACTCGTAGAAGCTGGAGTTACAGTAGGTAACTTCAGTTTATATATATCTATGACTTAACAGGCCAGGCCATCGGGAAACTTCCCGGTCCTCCCGATGGCTAGTCCGGGCCTGGTTTTCACGATAAGTAAAATAGTGAAAACTAATTTTTGGACGGACACTATAATTTACAGTTTTTTACCATGTTCAATCTGAATTTTCTTTCAAATAAAAAACATCTATATTGATTCTGACTTTTCTACATCGAACTCACAGGTTTATCATTACTTTGAGAAAAAGATTATTAATTTTTTATTTTTTTTATGTTTTAAAAGATGCTCTTTTTTTCACTTCACCAATTTTGACTGACTTTTTTGCGGTCTTGCCATAAAATCCCCCCAAAAATATTATATTATTTTTGTTTTTTCCTTGCAAGAAAAGAGGGAACATTGCAAGGGGGGTGAATAGTTTTGCAAGGCACTGTATTCATAGAGTGTATTCCTAAAGCCTACAGTAGGTGTTAGATAATGAGTAATAGAAGACGCCCCCACCCAACAAGACAAATATAATCTTACTGATATTTTCTTATAATAAAATAATACTTATATACTTGAAGACACGATGAAGTCAGTTTTTGTATCCATGTTTCAGCCATAGGACTCATTCATTAGTAACATATAGCAACTCTCATCAATATGAAAGCGAGCTGCCCCCACATGGACACAAACTGTAACTGCAGGTTCAAAGATATTGATCAGTTGAATTGAGCAGAAATGTGATCATGTGACGCTGCATTCATAAACAAACAAACAATCAGTGAAATATTGATTTAGACTCTTTTATTTTAAATGACAACATTAAACAAGAAGTTGATTTTGAGGGAAACAAGAATTAAATGCATTACTTCAGATTGAGCTGCCAGCAGAGAACGAGATCAGCGTGCTCACAAGAAACAGACTTTTATATTTGGTTCTTTGTTTTGATTTTTACAATTGAGTTCCAAATTTTAAATAAAAAAAGATCATAACAATAGTTTGAAATCAACAATGTGTAAACTTGCATTTATATCTCAGACACTACATTGTGAAATAACAGTCATGAATCACAATTGTTTGTTTGTCATAAAGGACGTTACTATTAATAGTTCATATTTTAATGTAAACCAACCAGTAGTAAATATATCACCTGCAAATTTAGAGTCAATCAACATTTTTCTTCTTCATTTTAGCCTGTCAAACAACAGGACATATAAGTTTAAACACATGTTAGACAATTATTTTTTTGATCCAGTCTATGTATGTACAGACTTTGATAGCTCCAGCTGGGCTCTCAAAGGGCTTTTCACCAACCAGGAAAGAAATGACACCGTAAATCTTCTTGTCGAACACCAGTCCTCCACCCGAGTCCGCCTGAGAGAGAGAGACGTACAAATTGTTAACCACAGACTTTTTTGCATTTATTGGAAAACTTATTTTTGTAATAAACTGGTCAAACTTTAAAAAAATAAGCCAACTCACAAGACTTATATCAACGTCAGTCTCTGTGAAACAGATCAAGGTGTCATATGTAGATGTATAGACTGGCTTTTGAAATGTGTGTCGACAGGCAGCAACCTGTGTGTTTGCACAACGGAGTTTGATTGGGCTATCGGTCCCTAGATGACAACAAAATATGTTTTTTTACAATGTTATCTTATGAACTTCACACAGAAACATATTTTACAGATGAATGCAAATATATTTTACTGGCAGATTCATATTGTGTGTGTGTGTGTGTGTGTGTGTGTGTGTGTGTGTGTGTGTGTGTGTGTGTGTGTGTGTGTGTGTGTGTGTGTGTGTGTGTGTGTGTGTGTGTGTGTGTGTGTGTGTGTGTGTGTGTGTGTGTGTGTGTGTGTGTGTGTGTGTGTGTGTGTGTGTGTGTGTGTGTGTGTGTGTGTGTGTACAATGATGAAAAAACGTTGACAGTCATGAGCATTTAAAGTTGTTAGTTTAACATAAACAAGATTCCTCTCACCTCTTGTACCATCCTTGTTCAGCGTAGTGGCTCCATGACCTGCAATCTGAACGTGTTCGCTGACATACAAGAAAAATACATAACATTCATAAACAGATGTCAGAGGTTTATCTCACTTTGAGTTCCTTAGGAGTTTCACTCTTCGACTTATTTAAGATCACAACTCACCTTGTAAGAGGTGTGTGACATTGAGGAAGATCTACACATTTATAACCCATCGCAGGCTCACGTAACAGCAGCAGCGCGATGTCATGGGGCTCTCCGTTCTCGTCTTTATATCTTTTAATATCCTTGATCTCAAATGGGTTGTTTTGGCCATCTTGATGCACACCTAGATATGCTGTCACGCTTGTCATCCTGCAAATAATTAAAGTTGAAAGGGTGACATCAATAAATGACTGAAAATGCATCAGAGTGTAATGGTTTAGGGTATTTAACATGAAGACATGATATTTTATGTTATTTAAATGTTCGTTTCAAATAATTATTTTTCAGATGTAATGTATCTACGCAGTTTAAAGTGGACCTATCATGCTATATTTGAATAATAAAGTGTAGGACCATACCTATATAAGGCATATTTATACTTTTTATTTTTCAAAATACCAAACAGATCATGCATTTTAGCCATTCCTCATTTCGCTCAATTTAACACTGTCTTTGCATGGGCTGATTCTGTGAGAACAGCACCACCTACAGGCCTAGCATATGTACTACAGCGTCTCCAGCGCTTTCGAACGGCAATGTCCGTGGCTGTCTCCTCCTGATTGGTGTAGTTGGCCCAATAGCCGTAGCACCACTTCTGTGACGTCACAGAAGTGTTCAAATCTGGATCAGTCTGGATCAGATCCGTTGCAGCCCCTTTTTAAGGGATTTGGGTACGGAGGAAAATAGAGAGGGTTGTGTTTTCTGACACTTGGTGAGTTCCCTGGAACACCGGGGACACATATTCATGTATAAAAGACGTACGAAAGTGCATTTTGCATGATAGGTCCCCTTTAAGTAAATATTTCTCACCCTTCTGGCACACAGTGATCTGCAGTCAGAATCCAAAACTTATGGATCAGAGATCCACCACACTTGACGTTATTAATCCCATAAGTTGATTTCAGCTTCACATGGTACTGACGGTCATCATTAGCACATATGTCACCTCCGTATATTCTCTTCTGCAGATCCAGCACTCTGCCCACTGTCACACCTGAAAGAGAAACCCACCACCAGCAGACTGGAAGTGAGAACAGTGGTTGTTGTAGAGAGGGTTGGGAGGGTTACTTTAACACACAAATGTAATCAGTAACTTGATCTGAGTATCAAAATATTAAAGTAATGTAACCTGATTACTTTCTGTTACTTTTAGAAAACCTCAATATCAAAAGCAGTTCAAATGAAAAGAAGAGAACATAAATATCAATACGATGTGTTTTACTGAAGTGTTTTATGTAAGACAACAGAAGAATGTGACCTTAGAAAAGAAGGAGCCGAGATATTTAGGATCAGAAATGATTGATTGTACAGGAAAACCATGCTTTCCTTCAGCATACTCAGTAGCTATACACCAACAATGACACACAGTTAAGCTCACACACACCATGTTATGAACATATAGGTTCACCTGCTGAATTAAAAACAGAACACATGAAGCAAAGAAAGAGAAAACCATGAAGCAGATTCAGGCAGGAGAAGATTCACACTGAAAGTATTATTCTACAGTACAGTTTACAGAGAACATCTGATCCTTTCACTAAATGCTCTTACCTGCAATGTTCAAAACAACAGATAAAGCCAGTCATGTAGTAGTCATGGACTCTGACCTGAGTTTCAACAGTCACATTAAAACAGTTACTAAATCAGCCTACTATCACCTAAAGAATATATCTAGGATTAAAAGACTAATGTCACAGCAGGATTTGGAAAAACTTGTCCATGCTTTTATCTTCAGTAGACTCGACTACTGCAATGGTGTCTTCACAGGTCTCACTAAAAAATCTATTAGGAAGCTGCAGCTGATTCAGAACGCTGCTGCTCGAGTCCTCACTGACACTAAGAAAGTGGATCACTCCTGTTCTGAAGTCTTTACACTGGCTTCCTGTGTGTCAAAGAATAGATTTCAAAATATTGCTGCTGGTTTATAAAGAACTGAATGGTTTAGGCCCAAAATACATTTCTGACCTCCTGCTAAATGATGAACCATCCAGATCTCTCAGGTCTTCAGGGACTGGTCAGCTTTCTGTCCCCAGAGTCAGAACTAAACATGGAGAAGCAGCGTTCAGTTATTATGCTCCAAATATCTGGAACAAACTCCCAGAAACCTGCAGGTCCGCTGCAACTCTGACTACTTTTAAATCCAGGCTGAAGACTTTTCTTTTTGCCGCTGCTTTTAATTGAAACTGAGCCGTTGTGTTCATCAGTAAAGTGGAACTTCTGTGTGAACTATTCACATCTTAATGCACTGTAACTTTTTATTCATGTATTTTCTCTTTTAATGTTTCTTTTATTATCTTTTACTGTTTTTAAATGTCTTTGTCTGAATGTCTTTCATTTTTGTAAAGCACCTTGAATTGCCATGTGTTGAAAGGTGCTATATAAATAAACTTGCTTTGCCTGCCTTCCTACAGTTAATGGATTAAGAGCATCTTCAGTATGTTAATCACAGCAGTTTTCCTCCTACTGACATTCAGCAGATATACAGAACTTCAGATTAAATTAAAGGCTAAGCCTACAGGACAGTGCAACCCAGTCTCATGGCATTTCGTGTTCACCAACACGATTTCCCCCTAGTTTTCGTGTTGCACAGCACGATTTTAAAAGCAATGTATTTCTACTGGTAATGTGTTTCGTGGCTGCAGCACGTCTTTTTCTCCGGTCGGGTCTTGGAAGACCGGAAGCTGTGTGGTTCATAAAAACATGTTCTTATTGTGCTTTTATTTTAAATCGTATAATTTCTGACTTTTGTTGCCGTCTGTGAGGAAAAGAAATGGGGCTCAGAGCCTCAGGATACTGAAATCTGTATTTTTTAAATCTTTTTTTCCTTCTAATTTGTTATTCTTTTCAAAATAACACACTGTTATTTACTCACCAATAATACACAATTGTCCTTGCTTTTATTTATTGGTTTAATTCCATAATCTCTGGCTTTTTTTGGCGTCCGTCAGGAACTGAATTTCAAAATAAAAATAACCGGAAACAGACGTAGGCCCCTAGGAGTTTAGGATGGCCGAAGACACTACACGACCCATAATCCCCAGCTATCGTTTAGGACTACAGTCCCCGTGATTAATCTTCAAGCTCTGGGATTGGATGTTGGAGTGGCAGTGCGTCAAGGTTACGCCACACTGTTAGCCCGGAATTCATATCTAATTAAATAATGAATTACAAATTACTGACATTATTTAAGTTTCATTGCATTACTATCAAATGTAAGCTTATTCTACTTGCTGACTACCAAATGTAAGCATATAATACTTACATATGTTAGTTAAGCAATGTGTCAATACTTTTAAGTTAAGTAACTTCACATTATTAAGTTTTAGTCATGTTCGCAATGCATTATGGGAAAGAGAAGGATCTTTTAATGTGCCGCAGCCACGTTTCCAGCTCGCAATTTCTCAGTCGGACGGAACCCCACTTTGAACGACGGACTTGCACCAAGGGCGCCGGAAGTGGGGGGGCCAGGGGGCCATTGGCCCCCCCACTTTACGGCCCTGCCCCATATTTTCGCAGCAGCGGATGCCGCAGAACCCTGTACACATCCCGTTTCAATAATTCCCCTCTACTCTAAAGTCGCATCTAAAAAGAACGCCATCTGATCTAGCTGTGTATATTTTGTTATTTTTTATTGTTATATTCAATCTCATTAGCTACAGGCATTTTTGAAGCTTGTAAAGGGAAGATGACAGCTCGCCTCTCACTCGCCACTCTGCTCTTCCACAGCGCTGCTCCCCCTCCCTCCGCTGACATTATGAATGTTAGGCATAGTAAACATAGATAACACCGCAGGGTCCGTTACAGTTTGTTTTCATCTGATTTCAAATAAACAAAGTCTTGGCTTTCAGAATATTAAACTTGTTTCGGCAAATTCAGATGATAAATACAGCTTTGAAGCTTTTAACGGCATAATTACAAGCGGAGAACGGAGTAACTTGACGTCACAGCAAGCATAACAACAGCCGGTGTTTCTCCTGAGAGTTTCCCCCTGGAAACAAACGCAAAAATACACAAACACACACACGTATACACACACACACTCTCGAGCTTCCCCCAGACCAGTAATCCAAACGAAAATATCTTCCCACCGTAGTATTTTGATCATTTGCTCCGCTAATAACCAATCAGATCGATCCAGAGAAGAGGAAACTTTAAGGCCTTTTTCTCAAAATGATGACTCGGTGACAGTCATTATATAATGTGACATATTTTGCTTAATATAGTACAAAAACAATCCTGATATCATTAGAAAGCTAGGAATCTCCTCTTTCCAACAGTGTATACAACTCAAAATGTGTCTTCGGATCAATGCGACTGACTTCGATGGAGCAGGTCACTTTGCATTAGGTAAAATACAGCAGGCAGACATAACAGGAAGAATATGTACATTTTAATCCAATCAAATAGGACATTGTCACACCATTCAAATGTATCCATGTACATTACAACCAATAACAAAGCTTAGATGTGTTTATTTGTTACGTTGTTTACGTTATGTGTTACGTTGTTCAGTGTGTGTCCGCCGTTAACCTAGATAGATAAACTTGCAAACATGTCAGAAGAACCGGCGCATAAGAAAACAAAATACAGTCAAACTAAGCTGAAATTCAACAACTTGAATGTCACATCCCTGACATCCACAACTCCGGAGCCTGGTCCTTCAACCATAGAGCCAGCTCCGGAGCCTGGTCCTTCAACCATAGAACCAGCTCCGGAGCCTGGTCCTTCAACCATAGAACCAGCTCCGGAGCCTGGTCCTTCAACCATAGAACCACCTCCGGAGCCTGGTCCTTCAACCATAGAGCCAGCTCCAGAGCCTGGTCCTTCAACCATAGAACCAGCTCCGGAGCCTGGTCCTTCAACCATAGAACCAGCTCCGGAGCCTGGTCCTTCAACCATAGAACCACCTCCGGAGCCTGGTCCTTCAACCATAGAGCCAGCTCCAGAGCCTGGTCCTTCAACCATAGAACCAGCTCCGGAGCCTGGTCCTTCAACCATAGAACCAGCTCCGGAGCCTGGTCCTTCAACCATAGAACCAGCTCCGGAGCCTGGTCCTTCAACCATAGAACCACCTCCGGAGCCTGGTCCTTCAACCATAGAGCCAGGTCCAGAGCCTGGTCCTTCAACCATAGAACCAGCTCCGGAGCCTGGTCCTTCAACCATAGAACCAGCTCCGGAGCCTGGTCCTTCAACCATAGAACCACCTCCGGAGCCTGGTCCTTCAACCATAGAGCCAGGTCCAGAGCCTGGTCCTTCAACCATAGAACCAGCTCCGGAGCCTGGTCCTTCAACCATAGAACCAGCTCCGGAGCCTGGTCCTTCAACCATAGAGCCAGCTCCAGAGCCTGGTCCTTCAACCATAGAACCAGCTCCGGAGCCTGGTCCTTCAACCATAGAACCAGCGCAGCCAGATGAACCCCAGCAGCAGCTCTGCGGCCGCAGAGGCTGTCAAAACCGCCACCGCCGGCATCGTTGAACCGAAACAGGCTGGTTCCGACTGCATGGAGGTTTGTTGTCGGGACATTGTGACGGGCAAATAAAAGCTTATTTGGGCAAAGAGAAGGTACTTCAATGCAGAATGGTACAAAAACAGAGAGTGGTTAATTATTTGCAAAACCACTAAACGAGCCTTCTGTGAAATATGCAGATGTGATGCTGTCAAACGGCTTGTAACTTTCTCCAAATGTGGAGATGACAGCTTTGTAAATACCGAGTTAATAACTGGAACTTTTCACAGAGCTTACTTCAGTCAAACACCAGTCAACATTCAGCTTGTCAAACAAGAGCGTAGCAGGAACAAAGAAGAGATGGAATGAGCAACTGCGCTGTCATATGTGTGGGCTGGTCTGTATAGTTTAATGTACAGGAAAGGAGTGAGCAGAGGGTCGAGTTGTCCATTCTTGTTCTGTTTTCTCTGACTATCTTCCTCCTGAAGACCCTCTCAGACTTTCATTTGCTCGCGCTACTAAAGAGACACGTTACCATGGAAACCAA